TGAACCAGTGTTTCTAATCTGGTCTTCTCATAATGTATAGCCGTACATTTTGTTTTTCTTTCAAAGTGTATAAGTTTTACATAGAGTGTGCGCTAGTTAAGGCGATGAAAAGAAAACGAGTAAATAAAAACGTGATCTTTTCTTGGGAGAAATCTTCGAAAACAAGAAACTGCCTCTCAATACCGAACAAAAGTTGAAATTTGAACCTGTTCGTGATAAAAAAGTTTGACAAATGTTTTGTCTACTCGGGAACTATTACTTTTTGTTGGATAACCGTGGACATTTTTTAGGTCAAATCTCTTCTCGATATTAAGTACACCTACAGTATGTCAACGAGAGAAACAGACTTGAACTGAATGAGTGACTGATAGATGCTAGCCAACTTCTCTGTTCTTCAATCCAAGAGCAAATTTTTTGTACTTTTTTTAAACTGGAAAGCGAAAAAGTTCGGTAACATGCTGCCTCTCATTGTTGTAGGTGGTCCAGGTAGATTTAGCAACTGAATAATTGAGCAGATCACAGTATTGCGTGACTTTCTAGATAAAAAGCACTTCTCTCCATCAACGGATTTTGTCATGTTTAGTAACTCTTTATGACGGACGTTTTTGATATTTCTTTTATGCAGTCACTTGAGCCGACGTTCAACTATTTCTTTGCACAAAAAGAGAGAATTTTCTATCAAAATGAACAAAAAGAGCTGTTCCAGTTGAAATTCCAAAGAATCCCTCATTTTAATGTGCACAAATGTCGAAATCCTGTGAATTGAATTTAAGATTAAGTACTGCCGATGTTAGTTGTAAACAGCTTTATGATTTAATAACAGCAAAGTGAGGTTTAATCAAAGGAACGTGAAGTATATTAAAGAACCAATAGACTTATCAAAGTTTCGCATCTTGTTATTTTAACTTGTTTACAGTTTACATTTTTTTAAATCATGCCACACTAACAGCATATATGGACGGTAAACAGAAGAAAGAAAACGGTATCTGCAATACAAAACTATTGAGAAACACCCCTTCTCCCTCGAGACAAAAGTAAACAAAGAAAAAAAGTCAGTAAACGAGAAAAGATGAAGTCTTACAATGTAAAGTGTCATGATACAAGCGAAGAACGAAATCTATCAGAGCGTTTTTCATAAAAATAATAGCTGTTGTGGGGTTTTTCTGGTATTTTCTGACTATGAAGGTTTCATTTCTGAGCTGTAAAATGTTTAGGTGGCAATCCTGAGAATGTCATGACTTTGTTGTCTGTTGCCGTTTATTGACATCTGTTCAATGAAAACGTTTTCTTTTCTTTTGTTATTGATCGTAATGATTTGCATAGTACACGTCAAACATGATAGTAGAACTTTTTTCTTTATATTTGAATAAGATGTATTATATAGCGTAGTTGAAATTCACTTGGCTTCTTGAAAAAGATGTCATTTTCGTTCCTGTTTTCCTTTAATTAACGAGAGAAAAACCATCAATAGAAACCTAGAAAAATTGCCAACTAGAAGATGGTCATATGGATCGTCTGTTGAAAGTGTGGAAGCTTACTTACAGTCAAAAGAATTTTGCTCTTATTCGCTCACGCTCAGTCTAATTTTAACTAGAGAGTATTTGTTCATGCTTGTCCATGAAAAAAATGTATAAAATGGCGAAAAATATTTAGTTGAATTTTGTGTTCATGGTCAAAATCAGATATTCCTAAAACGATTACGTAAACTTTAGACTTATTTTTGCCATCTTGAGATGATAGAAAAAAAGCTTTTGTCCATTATTCAGTCATTTTTTTTAATCTAAATTTCCACTGTCTACCGTGCTGTATTCGTATTTTCGTTTGAAGTAGTATAGTGAGGGATCAGTAGACAGTGTTGTTGCATCGAAATTTTAAATTCAATATTATTGTATTATTGTATGCATATGGCGGATCGATTTTGTAGCAGAAATACGATTATACGAAGTATTATATTTTCATTCACAAGATTATTGGGAATGAATGTGCGCCCTCAATACAATAGATAGTTTAACCTCTTTATACGCTGTTTTCTTAATTATCACGATCTTATCAGCTTTAATATATAAGGTAAATCATTATTTTTTTCTTCTATTCTATTATTAAACATAATGAACGTTCAACTTATATCTTTAATAGAATCAGTTTAAATGGGTTTGGCATCACAGTATGTCATCTAGTTAGATGATTTAACAGCAATTGCTTATAATCTAGTTAAATTTTTGTGTTTTTTGGCGTCGCAAAGCGTTAAAAACAGACGAGGATATATGTTTTTATATATTCGAGTAAATTTTAAATAATTTTTTCTTTTTCTCTGCTCAACAACTTGAGAATAAATGCTTCGAAATGAGAGTAAAGGAGGAGTAATTGCTGATTTTGAAATAAATTATCTTCCATTTGAAGTAAACTCTAAATAAAAACAAGGGACTACCTTTCCCTACGGTCGCAAGACTCCTGTATCCATTCTCAATTTAAGCACTTCTGACGCTCAGTTATTCATCCGTGGTGCACACATTATTGGATCTAACCCACTTGGTTTTTAGCAAACTACTTTAGAAACTGTAATTTTGAGCACAAATTTGATAGAAAAACACGTTTGTGACAGCGACAAGATTTAGATTATCTAAAGTTTTTTTTAGTAATGTATGTCTGATGTCTTTGTTTTCATTTTTTTTTCAACATCGTTCTTATTAGAAGTTAGTAGCTGATGATAGTCTTCGATAGATATTAAAATCAATATTTTGCTGAGACTAACATCCGATACCAAAAATTTGTAGAATGATGAATTTGACAGAAACATAAGGTTATATGTAAAACTTAGTAAAAGTATTTTCTGTGAAGTAAACTCGCTTTTTAATTATTATTATTATTATGTTTTTATTCTTTTCAGAAAAAAAAGTTTTAACGTTTGAGAAATAATGTGAAAAGAAACGGGAAAAACTATGAAATTGTTTTTGATGATCACTAATATCTCTACACGATTAATTAATTAACTCATTTAATCCATTTGTAAAAGTCAAATATTTTTGTTAATTATCTTATTATTAGACAAAAAAATAGTGAATGAAAGGAAAAGATAGGATTAAGCTTACATCTATTTATTATAGTTGATGTAATCTACTCTAACAAAATATAACAACAGATTTCTTATTTAGTTTTGTAGAAGGATAGAGTAATCAAAAATTTATTAAATAATCATCATTTGTTCATTTGTGCATCTTTAAATGTGAAAACCTTTCGGATACTCTTTATATCTTTTGATTTTTCAAATTGTTTATCCGTAGGAAATAATACATTAATTTTATCCTTTCAATTTTGTTTGTATTTAACGGAAAGACGTTTGAGTTAATGATCAATAATATTGTTTGTTATACGAAAATTATATAAATATCTAATCGTAATGCGGTTGACATGTTTGATGAAAATGTTTATCATAAAGTCTATTTTTAATAGTTTTCATTCTTTAATATGGAATATGTTTTAATCATGAGAGTCTTTTAAGAATGTACGCTATTATCTAAATTTTATTTATTGCCTCCTCTTCACTCAAATATGATCACTCGCATCATTAGATCGGGTATTTAACATTTTTTCTCTAGTTTCATCTATCTACACTCACATACATCTGTTTATCATAGAGTTTTTATAAATGTTTTATGAGTCGTCTTAGTTTTCTGTAAAATAACCTAAACAATTATCTTCTTTTCTTTCATTTTTTTTTTTTTATCGTTCCGAGTACGTGAACAGAAGCTCCTCTTTGGTTCAACTATTGTGGGATTATTCTGAAGAAAAAGGAGAGAAGCAAAAATACATCTGAATTCTTTTCAATACGCGTAGTGTACATATATGAAGACAAATTTAGTTCCGAATAGGTTGTTGTTTTTTCGAAAAAAAAAATCGTTTCTTTTCTTTTCTTTTTTTTGTTGCGTTCTTATTATAAGCATTTCGGAAAATCTAGATAGTAATAATAAATATATCTAAGAGGGAGAGAGAGAGAGAGAGCAGTTACATTTTTTTTTATTTTTTTGCTTATTCCGGTCTTCAAATTATATGAATTGTGACGATCATATTGACAAAAACTAGAAAATCTTTCGTTCACAAGAGAAAAAAAACGTTTTGATTGAGTTGATGAGGCTCGAACCAAGAGGAAGATTATCTATTGGATTCACACTTTACATTGAATTGATAAGAAATTGTTTTTCAAATATATTGAGTTCTTGTTGTTCTTCTTTTTATTTTTTCCCCGTTTTTTGGTTTAATAAATTTAATGATTTGACGTGCAAGATGATGAATAATAACGATGGGCAAGATCCAACAACAAAAAAAAAAGAAATGGCAAGTATATAGGCAGAGGAAATCAAATTATTTAATACTTGTTTATTATAAATGAAGATAAAGAGAATGAAAATTAATAATTGTAAATTAAATATGTCAAATTTTCGATTATTTAATAGAAATGTGTTTGTGGGTATTAATAGTTTGTCTTTTAATAATCTGTTTTTATATTATTTTAATCATTCACGATATTTAGAAAAAAAGAAATACTCTCTGTTGTCTTATACAAAAAAATTTTCAGACACTTAAGCTTAATTTAGAAATTATCGTTGAATTATTCACTTCGTTCTAGTAGTGACATAGAAACTACACAATATTAATGTAGTTTTAAAAAATATATATTTTGAACAAGTGGATCGAACACTTTTTGTCATTATTAAGTTTTTTGCTTTGGAGAAGATGCATTCGTAACGAAAAAAAAAACATTTTTTTCCTTTTTTTTTAAAATATGCCTAGTCACGATAGGCAACTGGCTTAATGATCCTCTCGAGCACACAGACACAGACATATATACAGACAGACAAAAGAAAGAAAAAAGACATCCTCTATTTGTAGATACACTCGGATTTTCTTTTTTTTGTTTTTTTTGTTTTTTATCATCCTATATATTCATTTTAGATCACTATTATGATTCTCCTTGATTAAATAACTTGTTTTTCATATAATCCATGCTGAAAAATTTAATACGTCGATTTTCATCTGGTGATTTACAGAATGATTTTAAAGATGATGATACACTTGTTGAAATGAATAGTGAAACGTTAACAAATTCAATACCACCAGTAAAACAATCACAACTACCACCACCACCACAACAACAACAACAACAGCCATGGGAAAGAAAAGGAGGTCCTTCACCATCTGCACCAAGTTCACCCACCAAAAATTTATCATTTGCAAATCAAATGATACATGCTGCACGTGGTGTGGTTAATCAAGCTATGCAAAAACAACCATCGTTTTCACAAGGATCTTCTATGAATCAACAATCACAAAGTTATTATTCTCAAAATCAACAACAATCGCAATCACAACAACAACAACAGGCACATAAAGAAAAATGTAAATTATTACTTGTTATTGATGATCAACATACAGACTGGTAGGCATATATATATATAAAGAGAGAGAGAGAGAGAGAGAGAAAGAAATTTTTCATCTTATTAATTTTTATTTCTCTCATGTTTGTTTCATCGATTAGGTATAAATATTTTCGAGGAAAAAAAATTTTTGCCGATTGGGACATTCGTGTTGAACAGGTTTCTATATAAATGTTGTCATGTAATTCGAGTGTATGTTGTGCTTTCATTAATGTATAAAAAGATTTTCTTCATACAAAAAAGATAGTAAATATGTGTTTGTGTCAATTTATAATATTTATTCTTAGGCTGAATTCAAAGATATTAATTTAGCTAGTTATTCAGATGCTGGTACATTAGTAGATATTAATGTTCAGCGCAGTGGAACACGTGTTGTCAGGTAAGTAATACTCGTCTATTAACTTATGATAAAAAATTAATATTTTATCATTGTTCAGCTGGTGTAAAGTATGTTTTACATGTCATAATATCATTTTCTTTCAGATCCTTTCGACCTGATTTTGTTCTTGTTCGACAATATGTACGTGATATTAATATCGATTGGACAAATATTATTCTTGGTCTACAATATGGAGGTAATATGTTCTTCAAAATAATGATATATTTATCTATGAATGTTAAATTCTAGGAGTGCCAGGGGTTAATTCGATGAAAGCTTTATACAATTTTCGTGACAAACCATGGGTGGTAAGTACAACTTATTATGTGAATAATAACTATGCTTCGTGTTTTTTTCTCATTGTTTAGTTTGCTGAATTATTAAATATTCAACGACGTTTAGGTACAGAACAATTTCCGTTGATAAATCAAGCATATTATCCCAATCATAGAGAGATGGTGAGTAATCTATGGGTATGTGGTCGTCTCCAAAAATTTTTAAATAAATACAGTGACGACTAAAATTTTCCGTACACTCCAAATGTTTATTTCTTTTGATCCCAACTCGATAATAAAAAAAGCTTTTGGCAAGCGGTTTGCACCAAAATATTCTCCGCTCTCTCTCTAGTATATTTGTAGATAAAAAAAAGTTAGAAATATTCATTGCTGCCCTTTATAGACCCATTAGACTGAAAAGTGAATATAGTAGATCTAAGTAAAATCTTTTATTACGTTGTATAAGTACCGAAAAAATATGAAAAATACATCAATCGATAGAAGAAAGCGCGAGATATATTTTGGTAAAAAATAATTTTAAGAAGTTTTTTTCTTTAGGGTAAAAACGCGATTTTAAGCCAAAATTGCCATACTCTTCAGTTTGACTGCTCAGTCTCAGGAATGAGATCTTCTATTTAAAAAAAATTCTTCCATTTAACTTCCAGACTACATGTATTTTACTCAGTTTTTGATTCTGTTTCGAATGTCTTAATCAGAGGTTTCTTTCATACAGGGTTCAGACTTTTGAAAGTGTACCATGTTTACATCGAGTTTATCCCAGCAGTTCGAAAGTAACAAGAATAGCACAACTCGAGCTCCTGGTGACAAATATCACGTTTAAAACATTTTAAAACAACGGCATCGTGGCCTTCCAGACCTGCGGAGATCCCATTTCCCAGCAGAACAAACGTTTTCTGGGCGTTTTCATCATTTTTTAGCCAGACGTGGACTATTAGAAAAACAGCTTTTTTGCCTTTGTCCAAACACTTCTGAAACAGACGAAAATCCTGTGGTATTTTTTTTGGGCAAACACTTTTTTTGAATGTGCTTGGGCAAGGCAAAATTTCCTAATAGCCCACAGTCGAGTACTTGCGAGATATATGTCACCCCATGTCCTGTAATCCTGTGGAATGGTGCAGCACGTAATCAAACTTTGAAAAACGAAGAAAATCCCCTTTCAAAGTTGTTGTTTTCTATCATTAGATAGTTTTTAATCTCAATGAGAACCACTTCATCGGATAGAGCTTGAAAAGTTACGCCGAATGCGTATCTTGTTGTCGCGCGTTGACACGATCTTTTGAAGAAAATATGGTTTACAAAAAAGGCCTACTTTTCGGAAAAAACGATTTTTTTAAAAATTCACCTGAGAACGTTCTTAACATTTTGGAACTTTTTAGCCGTTATGAATTTTGCAGCGCTGCACATATAGATTGTAATCTGACGATACCAGCTCATGAAAGTGTTTCACTAAAAACTGATGAAAACGCCCAGAAAACGTTTGTTCTGCTGGGAAATGGGATCTCCGCAGGTCTGGAAGGCCACGATGCCGTTGTTTTAAAATGTCTTAAACGTGATATTTGTCATCATGAGCTCGAGTTGTGCTATTCTTGTTACTTTCGAACTGTTGGGATAAAGTCGATGTAAACGTGGTACGTTTTCGAAAGAACAGCCCTACACTCATTCCTGAGATTGAGCAATCAAACTGAAGAGTACGGCAATTTTGGCTTAAAGTCGCGTATCTACTGTACCGAAAATTTTTGCCGATCTGGAAAAGTTTACTTTTCAGTCTGATGGGCCTACCAAGGGCAGCAATGAATATTTCTAACTTTTTTTTATCTACAAATATACTAGAGAGAGAGCGGAGAATATTTTGGTGCAAACCGCTTGTCAAAAGCTTTTTTTGTTATCGAGTTGGGATCAAAAGAAATAAACATTTGGAGTGTACAGAAAATTTTTGCTGCCACTGTAATATATTTGAAAATATTTAAGACTTTTATGACATATTAATATTTCTCTTTAAAGCTGATTTCGCCACAGTTTCCATGTGTGCTTAAAGTTGGTCAAGCTCATCAGGGTCTAGGAAAAGTATGTGAAACAACAGTTTTATTCTGATTTTATTTGGCGAGGAATATTGTTGATTTGCTTAGGTTAAAGTAGAAAATCCGTATGATTATCAGGATATGACGAGTGTTGTGGCAATTAGTGGTTGTTATTCAACCGTTGAAACATTTATTGATGCTAGATGTGATGTATACGTTCAAAAAATTGGGCAATTTTACAAAGCATTTATGTATGTCGATATTTCATAACTTTATTTACTTTGTTTCACATTGGTTCAACTAAATTATTGGAAATGAGTCTTCATGGAGCTTGTAAGAATAAGCTTTGTAGAAATTTAAAAGTTAACTCAGATTATTATTTCTAATAGGCAGATTTTTCAATAGAAAAAGCATAACAAAAGCAGCTGTGTGAATTATTTTATTTTATTTTAAATTCCGACGTTTCGATTTATTTAAAAATCATTTGCAGAAAAGAAGCACTTAGAAGTTTCTTCTTTCTCTTTATAGACGAAAATCATTGACAGGAAACTGGAAAGCTAATACTGGTAGTGCAATGTTAGAACAAATTAACATGACCGAGAGGTATATGAATAGTCTAACTATTGATAATTACATTTATTGATCTAATAATTTCTTTAGATATCGTTTATGGATTGATGAAGTTAGTCAATTATTTGGTGGACTCGATATGTGTGCCGTTGAAATTGTACAAACTAAAGACGGAAAAGAATACATTGTACAAGTAAAGAAGAACTTAAAGAACACTTACAATTTCTGCTATTAGCTCATTTGAACAGAAATATTTTGATAAACAAATAGTTAATTGTTTACATTTTTTTTATAGGTGAATGATTCAGCAATGCAATTGTTAGGTGAAACGCAAGATGAAGATCGCCGATCAATTGCCGAATTGGTATTGCATAAAATGGAAATTTATTGCAGACCAGATAAACAACCAACTGTTTTGACGTATGAGCATGCTTTTTTCATGGACTATGGAAATTATTATGTAGTACTTACTCTTCTTTAGACGTGTTCCAAGCCTTACTCAGATAAATCTTCCAATTCAAGCATCACAAACTCCATCGCCGATTAGCAATCCTACCTCGCATAATACAATGACTAATTCAATGGCAAACAATTCACGTGAACTAAATAGACAATTACCAAATGTACCATTACAAAATAAACCAACGAACAGCAGTATTAGTAATAATGTTGCTACAAATCTCTCGTCACCGGCAACAACAGGAAGAGAGGGTCACAATCCATTTTACAATCAAAGTGCTTCCCAACAAACTCATTCTCCCCCTTCCATTACTACAACAAGTGCCTCAACGAATGCCTCACATACATTGAATTTTCCTTTGTCAAATACTAATACTCCGACATATACAAACGTATCCGCTCTTTCTTCTACTACTACTACCACAACTTCAGCCACCACAACACGAACAAATCCGTCACAATGGATGGGAAATATAGGAAATCAATTTGGTTTACGAAGACAACCGTCTGCAACAGACGGAGAAGTAAGAAGTGTGAAAAGAAATCTATTAGAGAAAAGAAGCCAAGATCAATGTTATTCACGCTCTTCATAGGTAACATCTGACAACACAAACAAAGATGAGTCTGAAGATACATTGTATAATCTTAAACGAACATTTGCTGGAATATTTGGTGATATGTAAGTATTTAAATTCTGATTTCACAAACTATTAATGCTCTCTTTTTTACTTACAATAGGATTTCCTGATAATTATGAATAATTGACAAAAGCCAACAAATATATCTTAATTCTTCTACATAGTTGCTTTATTAGTGTGCATGTACATGTATATGTGATGTGTACTCATTTTTATCTGTTTTTTCTTTTCATATTAATACTTAAAATGAGAACAGTGGTGTTATTCTTTTTAGGTTTTTTTATTTTTCTTTCTAGTCATTCCCTACGTATTCATATAGAGATTATTTCTATTTATGATCATATATTATGGTAATCAGATAATAAATTTTTATGTAATAAAGCATTTTTTCACAAAAATCTATAATTGAGAACAGTTGTCCCAAGTCAAGTTTATTTAACTAAAAGCTGACAAAAATGGAATACTTATTAAGTATTAATCGTATATGAGTGATCGATTTAAAGAGAAAAAAAGAAAACGGGAAAAAAGATTTAACTACACACGTAGACATAAACAAACAGTTACGATATTGATAACAACAGAAGATTCAGTCATTAGAAAATAATACTATTCTAATCTGACTTGTTCTTTCTTATACAGCTGATTCAAAAGAATTCATTGAAACAAAACAAGAATTCTATGGAACTACTCGATAAACTGTTTTATTCTGTACATGTAGATAATAATAGTGAAAAAGATCTGGCATAAGACTTCGAGATTTTCCAACAGCAACAGCTATCCCATCATTTATATACGCGTATTTTCAATGGTTCAAGGAATAGAGCACTATTTTAAGTTAAAATTCTGAGAAAATGAACTAAATCTAAATTCTCCGATTTATTAAGTTGTGGTTCTCAGGGGTCGTAGCAGCCTGCAAGTAAATATCAGGATCAGAATTTTTCATTCAGAAAATCAGGACGAAGATAAAAGGACTAATTTCACCGTATATTCATATTTTTTTCCAAAAATTTGTATTATAGACTTTGCAGCAATCTTCCTTCTAGAAACGGAAGAAGATATCACTCATGGAAATATAGTTTAGCTCTAAGAACCTGCTACCTGTCTTTTATTGTGCAATATTTAACAGCATATATAACTGAAAAAGTCATTGTCTGTCAAAGGAAATAATCAAAAGACTATCTTCTGCTTTCTTATATGTGTTGCACATAACAATCCTTCCTTTCCTGCTGCGACACAGATATAATACATGTATGTGTTTGTATCAACCGTATGTTTGCATGTGTACCAAAAAACATACACTAATTCTCTTATAATATGATTTCACACGCATGTGTTATATGTCTTTAACATCTGCTAGTATTCGTTGCTGCATATTGTAAAGTGTTAGCTATTATCAGTTTTTTAACGTGAGTTTTCTACTAAAACTACTGCATATACATGACTTTACACAGACTGACAGTTTCTTACTAACTATTAACTGAATAATATGCAAAATCTCGTGAAAATCAGGAAATCAGGACGACTGCGACTCCTGGATTCTCTATTATTCAGCTCAACTTCTATACTCAGTAGTAAATAAGATTATCTATCTCTTCATTTATGTTTTCTATCCTTTTTAACAAGAGCATAGCGCGTGATTCAACAAATTACCTCTTCTTTCAGACAGGTATCATTATAATAAAGTATGCTTTCTTTCGGGTAATAAATTAAATATTCTGTTCGCACTTTGCTTGTAATAATCAATACAGCTACAGATCAATTTAATTTAATTTGAACAAAATCAGATAGTATGCTTTTATTAGTTAACAAAAGTCTTGTAATTGTTCATCAACCAAACAATCCATTTCTTCCAGTATCTGAAGGCATCATGGTTTTGCTGAACAAAGCCTATGTGTCATTTCGCCCGGATTAGCTTGCTACCTTAGTGGGCAATTAATAATTAGTTGCCGTAGATCGGGTAACAGCTTTGAACAGTACTAGTCTAGTAATATAGGCTTTTAGAACGATTTGTGCAAGCAAAAAATATAATTAGAATCATCCTGATTTAAACCTAGTCTTGTCTTAAGTGCCGGATCCGTTTCATCGAAATCGGTGCATGGGAATGCATCAACTGCGAGGTTATGTCTCAATTATACTTTAAAAATACAAACTTATATGAATATATTTCTGAATTATACATGATTAAAAAAAAGAAAACATCTGACAAATTTTTTTGTACACCAACAACAAATTGTCTATATGTAGAAGTAGAAATATTTGACTTTTTTAACGTATATATTCTGATGGAATTGCAACTAAAGGACCTAAAACAGAAGAAAATAAACACATCTTATAATTCTATCTTAAAAAACTCATTCTTTTTATTTTTTTGTGTACTTTACTATGATGCTGCTAATTCAATAATCGAGCAACAGTTTTTTTCGAGATATTTATACATAGTTGGATAGGGCGTATCAGACTGATTAAGAATATGTGTGTTTTAAGTTTTAAAAAAGTTGTTTTTTGTGGAGGAAAATTTGAAAAAACTCGAAGGGTGTAGAAATCTCGAAAAACGCTTCAGTTTCAAAACACTTCAAATTTTCGTCTTTTCTATTCTTCTAACTTTTTAAAAATACTTTTTCAGATTCGAATCTGGAAAAAATACTGGGTAGGCAACTTGGACTCTCCTGAAAAAAGCTCATAAACAGTTTTGCAAACCGATCTAGTTTTTTGTGTGAAGAGATAACGCCGAGTTTTGTATTTCATTGGAACTGCTGGAAGCTCAGCTTTAGAAGGATAATTTGCTTTTTTTCTATTTTGCTTCTCTACTGAGAAAATTTATTTTTTCTAGACCAGGAGTGAAAAAATCGGAATTTGGCTGTAATTCTCAATTGTTTCCGTCATAACTCAGCTGTTATGCAATAAAAATATCATATTCAGAATCAGAGTCAAAAACTGAGTCGAATAATATACTTTCCATCCTATCTGATCACTTTAAGTTTTTGTGAATTTTCAAGTCGTACTGAGACTTTCACCAAACAATGAAAATCAACGAAAAATTTTGAAATATATATCATTTGACTCAATTTTTGACGCTAACTCTGAATATGATATTTTTGTTTTTTTCTTTTTTATTTGAGCAGTAATCGATACCTCTATTTTCGTGAATATCGTGACCATTTTTTATGCGCAGTAAAATATTTTAAGATTTTAACTGGGGGTGAACTTTAACCAACTGCTGAGGGTGAACTACAGTTCAACACAGTACTTGGTTTTATTGTCCTACATAATTGATTTCAAGAGACCGGTGTGATTTATGAACATCTGCAATTTACATAATATCTAATGTTTAGATATTCAAATGTTAAGATCTTCTTACCCACTCTCATCTCCCCACTTCCCTCCGCCCTCCTAAATATCTAAATATCTAGCATTTAAATATCAGAATATCTGAACATCTAAATATTATGTAACTTGTAGATGTTCACAAATCAGACCCTATTGTAGAACTGGCTAAAAAAACTCAAACTGATTTTTTCAAATCTGGAAAACTTTTATCAGTTTTTCAGGGAATTGCAGAAGTTTTCCAAAAAAGTTTTCAACTATCCAGATTATGGTGAGCTGGAAATGAGTTCTCTATTTGGGACAAATGAAGAACTCAAATTCGCATTTGTTCGACAAGTTCTCCAAAAATCAGAGAACTCACTTTTTTTCCAGTTTGCACTAACTTTTAAGTTTTTTTGCTCCTTGGATAAACTAATTCGCTATTCTCACGCAAATGACACCAACCGTTGGTAAAATACTTTTACTGCTGTAGCCACAACTTATTTTTTCGATAAACTTCTCTTAGTGTTATCACGGCAATACAGAGATCTATCGTTACTGACGATAAAATTACCGATTATCGCTCATCCTTCATAGGTATGCGTTAGTTGAATTTGTTTTGCACAGTAGTGCGTTTCTCGCTCTGCTTTCTGCGAAGTTCTTTCTGAATTTCTGTTAAAATACGATAATAGCAGCACTGTTTCTTCATCTGCTTTGAATCTATGCTTGAATTAAAGCACGAACATAGTGTTAACTAAACACGTAAATGGTACTCGTATTTATTTGTCGCCATTAATGAACGCATGTCGAATATTTAATGGGGAGAAAGAAACCTAATTCTAGTTCCAGTATAGACTACTTGAAATAGTATTTTTGCTTAGATTGCTCAGAGTTTGCCGTATTGAAGTCGTGGCACAATTGAAACAATGAATGACACTGACTTCTTAGTTCTCTAAGCAAAAGTATTCCTTCACTACTTCATTTACGGGTGTTTTCTCCATGAATGTATCGAGATCACGTGAACAGTGAAGAGATTCGTCGTTTAGAGAAAATAGGCAAGCTTTATGAACTGTTATGATTTCTCTTCTTTTATTGCTAGGAACCAACCAGTCCAATATGATTCCTGTCTAAAACATCAGAAATCTCCTTCTTCTGATAGTCTAGACAACATCCTGCAGTATTTTCTGTTTTTTTCTGTCGAAAATTTACGTTGAGATATTCATACTATTTATACTTATGTTGGGTGTTCGAACCTTACTTGACGGTCTATTGATACGATGGAGTATGAAACGTTGATTTGCTTTTTTATGTTGTGAATTTTGTGTTAATTTTGCGAAAGAATTTTGATTTTCACCCTCAATATCTAATACCATGCGTGTATGCTTAACAAATATGAAATATTCATTTGTTGTGGGATTAGCTAATTCAAAATTGAATATCTGATACAATGTATTTTTATCGGTGAAACGATTTAGTATAATGGGTGCATTTTGATGCAGTGAGCCATGTTGAACACTGAACACATAACCAGTACGATATTCTCGTATAATATAATCATTATAGCCAATATGTTGAATATAAAAGTATTGTGATTCATTCTAAAACATAGACAACGTTCGTCTTCGATACAAACGAAATGGGAGGAAAAGAGAGAAAATAAACTTACATCTGTTGATGATGGAGCTTGCTGAACAATTGTTGATCGTTCCGGCGAATAGGTTAAAAATTTCAGAGAGTGAACAGCTTCAAAAGAATATAAACCGTCGGGGATAAATTCACTCTAAAATGAAAATAATAATGCATAATCAGTCATATCCAGATTGAAAAAACTGAAATGATCATCACGAAAAAGGATAGTTAACTGAACCGATGAATGATTTTGACAAATAGATATCTATAGCCTTATATTTTCAGGTAAAATTTTTCGTTTGGTACATTTTGAGTAAGAATGTGTAGATCGTAGGAGCAATATTTTTTGTGATTGAGATGACGCAATATATTCTTGCTTATACTGTGATTTTTTATTTTGTGATTAGTAAAATTTTAAACCAATGTGAGATACTTCCTTATTACTTTTTTGTAGCTCATCTTATCTTCTCGCTATATTTTTTATACGAAGTAAGGACAAAGAGGAATAAGATTACATTCGAAGAAAGAGAATAGTTCGTTATTATGTCAAATAATATCACTCGTGTTGTTAAATTGACTAATAACAATATTATGTAATTAAAGTTCGATCATCTACTGTTTTAAGAGAGGTAGACAGCGCTGCGCTAGTCAGTGAAAGGCACAATTTCAATCAGAAAATAGTCTTAATATGACTTGAATCAGTTTCAAGGATTCTGTAAATAGCACATTAAAATTGTTTTTTACTTCTCAAAAAGGGCAACTCAAGGCTAAAAGTTTTAACTAGCGACGCAAACGATTCATTTGCGACATATGGAATCGATCATAAACTTCTAGAAGTAAGACATGCAATACATGTTTCAAAAGTTTTTCAGGTTTAATTAACCATCTGTTTTTCTAAAACTTGAGTCTACATCATTACAAATAGATTTCGATACTCACACTCTGGTACCATTTATCGTGCATAGTTGTAAATGGAAATTATTTAATGATGACTTTTCGCTTTGTCTAGTTTTTCAACCTCTATCTACACACATTGACAGTGGATATTGATGCAAAGTATATTCTTCATTATTATTATTTGCTGCAGCATGTAACAAATATATGTGGAAAGAGAAATGAATAATAAAACAAAGTTTTTTGTACTTACTACTATAAGTATGTGTGTTCACATTTGCACTTGCACGTTTAAAATGAAAAAAAACGTAACGGCAAAAAAATAAAGGGTGGGTAGCTTATTTACACACACACACACACATAATGCAACAGCAACAGTAAAAAATAAAAATGAGCTAATTTAATCCAGTTATATAACATGTTTTACTTTCGAAGCGATTGTATACTTTTTATCATTAGATAAATCGAGCAAAAAAAGCATGTATAAGTAATATTAACAATATGAATCAGTTTAGCCATCATATTCAAGAAACAACAATTCATCTAAACTGAATCTCTTGTCTCATTCTAAAAAATAATGTATCGCAGAATTTTGTGTCGTAAGAGCAAGAGGGAATATGTGTCACAAACGAGCGTCGTCACATGCCATTATCCAATAAAAGCAGGGCTCTTAGAGATTGTTAAGCGACATATTTAGATTCAGAACATCGATCTTCCCAGATAGAAACATCCTTTTCTAAAAAAAATACTTGAAAATAGGCGAAAAACTGAACTTTGGATGATTTTTACAATGTCATACATGTGTCGCAACCGTAACGTAAAAAAGGTGTTGCAAATCCATCCTTGTGTCGCCGTCTGCAACACATGTGGTATCATCATTTTTTATAGTGTTCTACATTAAGCTGAAAACTGATGATAAACTAATCTAATCTGGGTTTTGTCAAGAGAGAGAAAGAATAAGTGATTGCCAGCGATAATTAGTCAATAAATTTTATAATATTTTCTTTATTTTTAAAATCTAATATATCAAAAATAACTACAAAATAAATGAATATCATTCTTATTCTTGCACAATATATCTAACTAGATAGTCAAATACTTTTCAGTTGCAGTCGGAGCATATGAGACTAAATTTTCATGTATTAAGCGTCAAAAATATGGTTATAGAATAAAAAATAAGTAGTCTGGAGGCATCTTGAGATATTATTACATAATATTTTTTATTCTTATTATGTAAAAGGCTTCCATGTGATTTTTCAGCTACTTATAATATAGTTAAACTATATAGTTAAATATTATAGTTAAAATTTAACTTTAACTTTTCGTGCTCACTCATGCGATTTAGTGTATGTTTTCAAAAGAAAATAGTTCTGTTAGATTGATGCGTCTAACCCCATCGTTTGCAAATATAACAGATGGCTTTACCTGTAAACTTTGAATGAATTTTGATAAAATGTACAGAAAGAAAAGAATACGATGTTTTCTTTTTTGAAAGTATACAATATGTAAAAGCATGTAGATGGAAAGAATAAAAAGCAAAACGCTATATAGATAATAATTCAATGTGTGATCCTGCAAAAATAGTCAAGATCATCGTTGTTATTAAAATTTCAGATAATGTTGAAATAGAAAACAGTTAACGCTTATAAAGGTGAGAAATCGTTTTTTGTAAAATATATCATAATAACATACTAATTTGGTTTCAAGTAAAATAGCAAACAATGCAGAGCATGAAAAATATAGTGTGAATATAGAAGTTACTGAGATACGAGATATTTCCAGTACAGAGATATGTTTCTGTATGTCTATTAGTATGAGCTTCGTCTTCATTGGTGGAAATCGTGAAAAATTCGAAATTCGACGTTGTTAAAAATGGGAAGAAAAAGTCCACAATTTGTACACGCTCTTCATCCATGGGAGCGATCTCGGTGCTAAAAGTTGTCGAGAATTTAGTATAAAGTTACAATCTTTCCTTCGGAGCAACTAACACGAGCCATATAACTATCCGTTTTTACGGATTACTCTCGTTTCGTCCCGTCTCAATTCGTCTCATACTTGTTTTATCCTCTCTCGTTTCGTTCCATACTCGTTTCGTCCCGTTTATTTTCTATCATTCTAGTCATTTGTATAACTATTCATTTTTTTTCTATCAACTGTATACTAATCAATATTAATATAATTAACTAAGATAATGTAAGAAATTGATACATGGCTTTATAAGTTACATTTATTATTTTATTTACGAGTTACAATGAAACAGATAATTTTACAGTATTAACACATTTGCCACATTTAATTGCAAGTTCAGTTTCAGACAAAGTACCAGTTTTATATCGTTTAAGAATCTTTCACAGAAACAGTCAAATGGAAAAAAGTCTACAACACGTGTGATAATAAATTGAAGGACTGTTTTTAAAAGATATGAAAATGGTACTTTGTCTGAAACTGAACGTGCAATTAAATGTGACAAATGTGTTAATACTGTAAAATTATCTGTTTCATTGTAACTCGTAAATAAAGTAATAAATGTAACTTATAAAGCCATGTATCAATTTCTTACATTATCTTAGTTAATTATGTTAATATTGATTAGTATACAGTTGATAGAAAAAAATGAATAGTTATAAAATATACAGAAAATTTATTCTTCAACTCGTCTACAAAATAACTCCGGCCAAATCTCCATATGACTCTGAATATTTTCGAAATCATAGTGCATCTCAACCAGATGGAAGAAACTCGTAATCAACTTTCTTGCTTAATTTTGTAGAAGTTTCGGTTCTTGTAGAATATTTCGATCTATCAAATAACTAAAATGTCATTTTCAGATGACATCTTTGATCATTCCGCGTTTACACGTACGTTCTGCAATTCGTGAAGTTTTAATTTATCTTAAACGAGCGTCCAGTTCATCCACAACAACGAAAACCAGTTATTATCATCATGCATCATCATTACCATTTTGGAATAAAACACTTGGCCAAAGTTTTGATGACATGGCCGAAAAGTATCCAGCAGATGAATGTTACATATTCAAAAGTAGAGAGGCGTATAATTTCAAGGAACTTTCCTGAAGTTGTCTCACTTTTCTTTTTTAGTGGAAAATAAACGTTATACATTCAAATCCTTCAAGGATGAAGTTAATAGTATTGCCACATCTTTATTGGAACTCGGTTTTGAAACGGGTGATCGTCTTGGCGTGTGGCTACCGAATACGTCAGAAAATGTTTTATTGTCCTTTGCTTGCTCAAAACTTGGTATTATCAAAGTGAATATCAATCCAGCATACTTGGAACATGAAATAAAATATTGTTTAAATAAAGTTATGTGCAAAGGGCTTGTTATGCAACCGAACGTCAAAATACTCAATCTTCTCTCAACATTCACTAAACTTGTGCCAGAGCTTCAAAGTTCAAAAGCAGGTGATTTAAAATCACAATCTGTTCCGTCGTTAAAACATGTAATCCTTGCTGGAACACAACCAATATCAGGAACTCATTCTTTTAATGAGTTACTTAATCGCGGTGGAAACAGACGACAACATGATTTAGTGGTACGTCAAAATTCGATTGATTCAGATGCACCTGCAGCCATTTATTTTACATCGGGTACAACTGGAAAACCAAAAGCAGCTACATTGACAAATTTTAATATGTTAAATACTGCAGTTGCGTGTTATGAACATATCGGTTGTTTTTTCACGAGACTATGTGTACCAATACCAATGTTTCACGGGTTCGCTGAAATTGCTGGTACATTAAATGCATGTGTAGGAAAATCTTGTATGATTTATCCAGCTCAACTATCTGACACTGAATTAAGTAAGCTGAAGTTTGACATTCAACCACCTTATACACTAATTATATCAATAAATTAACCTTTATGTCAATATTTCAGCAATGAAAGCGATTCAAGAAGAGAAATGTACAGCACTAATTGGCGCTCCTATCATATTTCGAGATATCTTGACACATCCAAACCGGAAGAAATATGATTTGTCATCATTAGATTATGCAGCTCTTGGAGCAAGTCCAATGTCTTCAGACTTTTTAGAAACACTTGAAAAAGAGATACCAATTAAGAGGGTTTCACAAGGATATGGAATGACAGAGAATAGCGCTCTCTTGACGAGTGGAATGTGGGCGGAAGCTAATGATAGAAGACGTCGAACAGGTTCAATGGGAAAACCCATGCAACGTATTGAGATTAAATTGGTGAATGAAAAAGGTGAAACAGTTGCTCTTGGTGAAGAGGGAGAAATTTGGGCTAGGGGATATTGTGTAATGAAAGGTTATTGGAACGATGAGGAGAAGACACACGAAACACTAACAGAATCAAAGTGGTTGAAAACAGGAGACATTGCTGTAATGGACGAAGATGGTTATTTGTTTTTTCGTGGACGTATGAAAGAAATGATCATTCGTGGTGGCGTTAATATATATCCAATAGAAATCGAAAATGTCATTATTTTACATCCGAAGGTAGCTGAAGCGCAAGTATTTGGCATTCCTGATAAACGATACGGTGAAGAAGTATGTGCGTGGATTAGATTGAAACCAAATGAACAATGTGATGTAAATGATATACAGAAATTTTTATCAACTAGATTAGCTTTTTTTAAAATACCAAAATATATGAAAATCGTTGATAAATTCATAATGACACCAACGGGGAAAGTGCAGAAATTTAGACTATCTGAAATGACAGTGAATGATTTAAATATTTCCAAAGATTCTTAATAATTTGTTGTTTGCTATGGTTTTAGAATAAAAAGAGTAAAACAAATTAAAATGGTTTTGATGATTAACGAACTAAAAGATTGTTTTTCTCAAGATACAATTAAATGTAGCTTACTGAGAATTATAATCAAATAGTAACATCTACTTCGACTGATTTTTGACATGACCAAGTGTGAACTATTAATTATACAAACACGAATGTTGTCGTTTGTTAAACAAGTCAACGGAGAGAGGCTATTTCTCTTAATTTGATTTTCTTAAATAATGTTGTATATTCGAACAAGAATCGTTAGAATATGCACATAATTCATATTATGTTGAAAATTGTACGGAAAGTGGTATGTAGTATTGGACAAAATGAGAAATGATCACGGAAATAACATGCTTTTGATCCTTGTTGACAAAATTTCGAAAAAAAACATGCAAAAATGTTGGTCACGAAAACTAAAGCTACATATCGTACAAAGATGCACCGATCTAGTTAGTCGGAGTGTATTTAGAATTTGAAAAGAATATCAACATATTTCCCATGAGGTTTTTTCGTTGCGTTAATAACGCGATAAAGTCCGTTTTTGTAGTGGACGATAAAGTGCGTTATTAGTATACTTTTCTTGTTACAAAGGCGATGTAACGGATCAAATAATGTATCGCGTTGTTCTGCTCTTGAAAAAAATCGCGTTGTGACGAGATAAAAATCAGAATGTTGTACGACGCAGTAAAAATATATTCTATTGCAACACCCCTCGTTACCTTCTTTCGATAGTTTAATCACTTTTCAACTAGATTCCATCATGTTTTACTCGATATTTTCTTCGAGAACATGAAGCAATCAGAGATTTTCTTCTAGAGTACCTTCTTCAAAGTACACAGAGCTTATTTTCTTTGTTTTGAGCTTTGAACTCCATTTCATTTCAGTGTCACAAAGTTGAACTATTATTAATTTGCTCATCTAAGGTGCGATATTGTTTTTACCGACCAAAAGTTTCTCAGATGTATTTCTTAGATGTATTTCTTTAGGTTCTTATCCGAATCGCTACTGTTATTTGATCTCAGAATAGAAGTGAGCGGGGCTGTGTTTGAGCTTCACCTGTGAGTTTTGCCAATAAGGTAACGTTTGCCGTATGTGAAGACAACATTCTGGACGATAATATACGCACACTGTCTGCCTGTTTTTGTTCTTCTGCCGACGGATGGGTGAGATAAAAAAAACGTTACATGGTTACAGACTGAGATAGATGAAAATGCGAAATCAATGTGATCCTAGCTTCATGCAAGAATTGATTTTGTGCTTTGATAGTTTAAGGAACAGAATGATATAATGAACATTTACATACTCGCTTTCGTTCTATTTCAAGAAAAGATCTAAACGAAGTCAGAAGACGACAAAGAACGTTTAATTTGAAAAATTTTCCTTAACAGTGGCTAAAGACAAAGTCGGTGTTCCTATAGCAGGTGTTCCACTGTGTATTACTGTAAGGTATGGTGACATTATAGCTGGTGTTCCCCATAATGAAAAAGTGTTCCACCATGTGATGACTGATGTCTAATGCATCAGTAAATGAGAAAAATGTGTTTTTGCGAACACTTAATTGATTTCGACATTGCCGATTAGTACATCGCATAGTTGGATAGACCTTCACAGTACCATCTTTCAGTTTCTTCTTTCTTGTACCGTCAACCATCGAGGAACCACAAGGACACGTATGATCTTCACTTTTCTGAGCCAAATTTTGGTCGCGAACGAATTCAGATAGCAAATTGTCACCATTTAATATTTTGTAAAATTCTCGATTATCAGTAGGAATAGCCATGATTGTTGTGTAAGATTTGTGATAAGAAATATCATAACTTTCTCTCTTTTTATAGTCTAGTTCATACCGCATACTTAATGACAAGATTATTTGAAGATGGAACACTTTTTCAAAGACTATCCGAACAGATCTAATAATTACCTGATCTATCTTTTATCTCATTTTTAGGCGTTTTCTAGTCCCATTTTTTTATGTTATTTTAAATTTTAAGAACTATGCGAGGAACCACTTTATTAGACTCACATCTGGCCGAAAAAAATACTTTGATCACGTAATTTGTGAACAGCTCATTTAGAGTCTCCTGAAGATCTTGTCGCGAATTAGATGAGATCTTAATATAATCCTGCCGCGATCCCGTCACACTTTTGGAAACACAAACTGGAACGGATTTTGTGAATAATTTTCATCTGACCCCGTTGCCGTTCTTATCTCGTTATTAAGCAATGTTTCTTTAATTTTCCTAATTTTCGTTCTTTGTTTTAAAACTTTTATCTTGCTAAAGCACGCTAGATAACGCGTTAGTTACGAAGAATTAACGTGTTACAATGTAGAAAATAAAATATTCCATTAAGGCGCGCTATTTGAGCCATCTAATGTCATACAACGAGATAGAATCTGTTAACGCATTACAACGGTATAAAATCTGTGATCCATTACAACACTTCGCACTTTTATCGTTAAATTGTAGCCTTTTAACGCTGAAAAACACGTTTTTTAGCGTTATATTGTCTAAAAAAACCTCATGGATTACTAACTAGAAATGTACGTGTTATATAATATCGTCATTAAGGAAGCATATCACATTATTTGACAATCTATATATTAGCATACACATTTGTCTGATTGGTACTAATGATAGTATCTCATCACACAAGTTCGAGTGTTTCTCTGCCTTCTGTGATCTTTTAAATTCATGTCCTATAGTATTTTTTATTAAGCATTTATGCTCTCAAAATGCTGAAAGAGCGAAAAAGACAAGAATTTGAATTTTTTTGAAACCAAAGTATTTTTCATTCCGGCATTTTCAATTCTACGACATGAATGAAAGTAATTTTTTCAAACATTAAAACACATATTTTCTGAATCAGCTCGAAGCGCTCTATCTAACCATGTATAACAAATGCAATGAAATAAAAATCTATTAAATTTGTGGTGCCTTATCTGTGACAAAATGAAAAGAAGGCTAATGTTTATGTGACCATGGTTTTATTTTTGTATTGCAATAGTCTAGAAAACGTCTTTCATTTTTTTTCTTATGTACTATTTACATAATTTTATAAAATAATAATAAAATAAAGAAAAGAAATAACTGAATGGAAGACAAGTAAAAATGAAAAAAGGAAAAAAACATGTCAACATCATTATGATACAACCAGTTCATCAAAAATCTTAGCTTTTTATTTTTGTTTCCTGTAAGACGTTAATTGAATAATGAAATGAACTAGCTTAGAAGAAACGAATCGATTAAAAATATAGTTGTTCAATCTAACTAATTATGCTTCGAGTTTAATTAATGAATAAGGTTATTCTGATTCGACGTAAATAAATCTCATTTTTTTTATTGTGAGAATAAGATATCGATGCTCGAAACTGTTATAAATTCATTATTTTTTACGAAAAGACTAAAAATTAAATTAGTACGAATAATTTTCCAGTCTGTCATTATAAAATAAATTTTTCTCATAGATAACCTCTTTCTCTCTCTCTCTCTCCCCCTCTCTTGTTCGTCTAACATATCGAGGTCTTTGTAGAGGAATTTATGCACAATGTATATCATTATTATTTACCTGTTCCATCGAATCCCAAAGATATTCATTCCTATTAAATTCACGACATCTTTTTCTCATAAGATCTTCTCACAGCTCTGTGCACAATACATATACATTATAATAGAAAACTAAAAGAAAGGCAATTTTTTGTCTTAAAAAAAATGAAGCCAATCAAATCAATCAAATTCATAAGCAGCTGATTTTATTTTGATGCACACTTATTTGTCCCTTATTCTTCCACCTTCGATTATTCTTGTGAAATTTTCAACTCTTTCGTTCGTCAGATGGAAAAAACGAAGTTTTAGTTTAAAGCGGTTTTTTGAGTAAAATGACTTTTTAGCACTTTCTTTTACCCCTTACGAGCGGGTGGACGAACAAGACACAAACGACGCAGTGTCTTGTGATTTGTAACTGATTGTTTTATCTTCTTCTCTCGTTCGTGTCAGCCCCATCATCTTACATATCAACGATAACAGAAGTAGTTGCCGAAATAAAGGCGTATTAGAGCAAGAACTGGATGTTTCTTGTAGCTTAGTTTAAGGGAAACGATAGGTAGACTAGTGAGTACGGATTATATTTTTGTGCGTATATTCAGGAAGAAAATTTTCATATTTTTGCCGCTTCGGGCAACGCTGACAGGCTTTTCTCTTTATAAACGATAAGAACAAAGCTCTTTTTGTAAACGATTAAAAATTAATTATCCATTTAAAAGTAAAAACAAACACTCATACTCAAGTAGTTAGAGGAATCACTCTCACACTCACCCTAAACATACCCTCAAAATTATTCTCCCCTTAAGGATGAAAGATGAAAAAAAAGTTTTTTAAAAAATTAAACGATTGTATTTTTTTATTTCAAATAACTTTCCTATTTTGATGAATCTGCTAATATAAAATATTAGGTGATTTTATGCATTATATAACTCTATCAAATGGTAGCGTAGCACATTGTACTATATTAAAAGAATTTTATTTATTTAGTTTTTCAAAAGTGTTGAACTCGTGAGTGAGAGTATATATTATGTCTGATGGAAAGAACGAAAGTTCAGAATACTTGCATTTTGTTTTTGTAAAATGTTTTTATAATGAGTAGAGAAAATAAAAGTATGCAGACAATAACCAATGAAAAATGGGAATAGATAAAAATCGAAACTGTAAATCAATAGTATTTATTTGCCATTTTAGAATATTTGTCCAATTAACTAGTTTTTGAAAAGCTTGTTGAATACAAACGAACAGCAAGTGTTTTATTTGTTTGCGGAGTTTTGAATAAGAAGAAAAAGTATCTTTCTAATGTATTTTACGATTTTGAAAGAAAAAAACGAATTTAACTTCTTCAATAATGATTCGTATTCGAAGAAAAAAAGAAAATTTATCTTTTGTACAGCATTTAATAATGAAAGAAAAGAAATATAATAATTTTTTTTGAAATTAATGGAAAGAATATATACTTTGAACTTAAATATGTTCACTTTTATAAACAACTAAGGTAAAAAGAAGTACAAAAAATATAAAAAATTTCTGTTTTCAAACAGCTTCTCTTTTTCAATTTCTCACCGAAATGGATGTATAGACACTTTGTAGTAGAAGTTCTCTCTTTCATTTTTTTTTATTTAGATGATGATGATTCCCTTTGTACGTTGAAGTGCCTGTTATTGTCAATTATTGAAATACTGTTAAATTAATCTTCTTTTTTTACTTATTACAAAATGTACAAGATAAAAGAAAAAAAAATAAGAGAATAGAGAAAATCATTCCCATTGTAACTGAAACGTAAGTATTGTATTGAAACAAAAATAATTACATATTGAATCATTTTCTGGTTAATTAGAAAGCTTACGAGTTGGATAAAAGAATTTTGAAAACGAAAAGGTTAAAAAGTGTGAACTATTTTGAATTAAAAAGTTTTATTTTAACATTAGATGAAATGATGAGAAAATATTGAAATCAATGAGGTTCTTCTTTGAGAATTCGTGTTTTTGACTATCACAGATCTTTGGCAAAACTTGACATAATTCATTTTTATCAATTTTTTAGATTGGATGATTCATTATGAATTGGTGTTTGTATACAACTATTCTTTTAATTGGATCACTGCTCTTATTAGTATGTAATTTTGATACAATAGAGAAATTATATAATTTTTAGAAGTATATAATACAATTCTCATCGATTATTGCTAATAATTTTAAAAAATATTTCAAAAAAAGAATGAAGAAAATGACCTTGGTTTACTTGCGAAAAAGCGCAAGAACGTTGGACAAAACTTGCGAGGAGACTTGATCAAGTATCTGAATGCAAATACGTTCACTAGGGGATCTGCTCGAGATTCGAAGTTTTTCTATTACGTAAACTCTGCCCTTAAGCACCATTGCATGTAAGTTACGACCTACGTACACATGAAAACCACTCAATTGAGTGTTTTAAAACAAAAAAATACTGATCCACTAACTTCTATAGAGAAAACATTTTGTTATATCGTTAAGTTGAAATTTGATCAAGATATTTGGATTTTACAAAAATTACTGAAGAACGAAAAGTCCGAAACGAGCAGAAATCATCGATCTTTAAAAATTCATAACTGGGAAAGAGCGTATAATCAATACTACGGCCTTAGAAAAGGTGATAGAATCCCACAGATGTATTATTACTAATCGACAGTCGCGGGTTGACAGTATTTATGACCGACAGTGACTCAATATTTATTCTATCAATACAGAAAGAATCCTGTGACATTTGAGTTTTAATTTTGCGCTAATACTCTGTCGTAAGTAAAAGTCGTGAAGATTACAAATATTTTTGGTGTGCAATCGATTCGGTGGACTAACTTCAGACAGTGTCAAGTACATTTACGGTACATTTACGGCTGTTACGGACGTTCTTGTAACAGTTTATAGTACATTTACGGTGAAATTTTTCATAATTCATTAAATGTTCTTGTCGAGTTATGAATTTTTTAAAAATAAATGATTTTTGCTCGTTTCTGACTTTTCGATCTCTTTTGCTTTTGTAAAATCCAAATATCTCGATCAAATTTTAATTTAAAGATATAACAAAATGTTTTCTCTACACAAGTTAGTGGAACAGTATTTTTTTGTTTTAGAACACTCAACTGAGCACATTCCATTGTGACCTATGTGTCATGGCTCATAACTGACATATCACCCTAGATACCCAGTGACTAATCTGTCTACCTATATTTAGATTCAAACGTCACATCAACAGTCACCAGCATGTAACGTAACAATTGTGAATACAACGCTCACAGTTGCATGTGCAAATGGAACAGTTTTAGACGATTTACCGATTTATTTTTATAATACTAGTATATTAAACCAAGTGTTACAGCTTATTGTACTAGGAAGTAACAGTAATCGCGGTCCGTTTCGACAACTTCCGAACAACATCTGCTTTCTTCCAAAGCTTACAGTATGTTAGTAGCAGAATTTAGATTGAGCGAAAGTGGGGTGTTTTGAGCGGTTCGACTATCACAATATTTTTTCGTCAATTTTCGAAATCATTTTTCTGTTATATTTGTAAAAGAATGACTCGAGAAAAAGCATACCGTACCTTAAAACAAATCTGTAATGAACTAATTGAACTGCACTAACATATCTTTTCATTTTAGTCTCTAGTCATGTCATACAATAATCTTCAAAATTTGGATCCGTCATCATTAATCGTTTACAATCCAGGATGTTTAACAGAAATTCAAATATTAGATCTAAGTTTCAACATGATTACCGAGTTACCTTACAATTTACTACAAAATATGTCAAAATTACGAGAGCTTAACTTAACTAACAATCAACTAACAACAATAGAACTCTGGGTACTATATTACGTCAAAAATACCGCCGACTTCAGCAATAATCAAATTTCCACAATCACAAACAAGTTCGGCGTACAGCTGACAACATTCCCCGCACCGAGCGGCCGACTGGATCTGACAAACAACGCTCCATCCATCAATTTAACTGATGCCATATACGAAATGTACGACAATTGCATTGAGCCACAGTCCTATATAAATCAAACTATACAAACGAGTATACCATTAACACTTGCCTTGTTCAGCATCAATTTTGACACTTCAATGAGACTTAATTGCAGTTGTGACCAATATTATATTTTACAAGTAATGCAACTTTATGATCTACTTCCCATACCAAAATTCTCACCATTATCGAACTTCACTTGTACAGATGGCGCATTATTTGGTAATTACTCATGTCAAAGTATGCAATCATCCGTCGATTTCACCAAAGTATATCCAAGATTTTGTAAAATCAATGCCGATGAACTAGGAAATGTTCCCACATATGTACCACTCAATAGTACGGTAAGTGGCAATTAATTCTCATTTTAAATTCATTTGAGTAATTGTTTTTTTTGTTCTCCTCATAGCTAGTAACAAATAGAACAGAAATATACTAAACATATCCTTCTAGTAAATGAACGATAGAAGAAAGTCTTTCTCAAAAATGTGGCTACTATGACGATTTGGATCAGATCAGTGTAGATCAGATTCTGTTTTTCATATCGTCACAATGCTTCTGTCTTTTATTGTGGAATTTTGAGCTCTATACAAAAAAATAGATTCTTATGCAAATGCTGTTAATTCAACGTACTACAGGTTACCTTTAATGTTATTTGTTTGTTTTTAGTCATCATATCCTCTCTACTTCACACGAAACGTCTCTAATGGTCATTGTTTATTTTCAATCAAAAGTTTAACTGAAGCTATAATTTCATGTACAAATGATACAAATCCAATCATAATACCAGATGACATAAAACATTACTTGAATAATGAAACAATAATTAAATTCCTAGATTCGTCTATTAGCACTCTTCCGTCAGATCTCTGTACATTGCCACCTCGTCAAATCGATTTAAGCAATCAATTATTTACAGTTATTGATCGTAGCACTTTTCCTTGTTTGGATTGGTTCCAAACTATTTCATTGTCTAACAATGATATTTCGATAGTTAATGTGACAAACAATAATTTTCTCAACTTAACAACTTTAGATCTAAGTGATAATCAGCTAACTATGATTCCGTATACTCTGTTATCACAATCGCGAACATCTTTGAGAAATTTTGATTTACATAATAATTATATTGACGCAATGGACTTATGGTTGTATACGTTTGGAATATCTATCGACTTAACGGGTAATCCAATGAATAACAGTATCAAGAATTATCAAAATACGCCTTTATCGCGTAGTGCAAATAGAGACTCGAATATTTCGTTATCATTATCAACATTTGTTATTAACGATACAGTAGCCGTGAAGTATGGCACATGTAATGATACTACTTTTCCATTCTTTCGTACAGTTCTCGATGCATTAGATCAAAGTTCGGCAATGATTTTACTAAGCTGCGGATGTGAATCCATCAACCTCAAAATAGAATATACGCATATGAATTACTCGAATATCACAGATTATTTTAATTGTACAATTCAAGAGGAGCGAGAAACGTTTTTAAGTCTAATGTTGAACAATTGTCCCGGTACAAATAATTTTACTAATGGATTATGTACTAACTTTGATGATACGGTAAGTGTGAAGATCTCTTTTTATGTTAACTACTTTGGCTTTCAGCAAGATGAGAGAGATTTTATTATTGTATGTAAAAATTTAAAATGAGTCATTGAACAACGTGATGAAATATAATCGATCTGAATTAATAATATCGCATATATCGTGCACCTTTCTCTTTAAAAATTCGCATTTTGCACGCTGTTGTTCATATGATAATTCAACAATACAAGGATTTACCAATTGATAAAGTAAAAACAATTTGCATATATAATTTTTTATTAATAATCAATAGTAATCTCGATCAGGAATGTTGTATGAGTTTTGATTTTATTCGAGAATTTAGCGTAAACTATAGAAAGTATAGCCCATTGATGGAACGTATGAAATAAGAATGAAGACTAAGACTAACAAATTTTGACGAACGCTTAAAAATAAACATATCTTAAAACTAATGATTTCGCCTAACAGTTCAACATTTATATGTAGGTGGCTTGCTATTAACGCTTTTTGTGGCTTTCAGTGTGCTAATTTATTGTATCTAATCTACTTCAACATTACCAGGCGATTTTTTTTATTTATGTACTCAGTTCAAGGAAATCTTATATAATTTTTATCACGAGAGAAAAATTGGTAAAATGTTCAGGTAGTCCAAAGTACTCTATCTCTTTTCTATTCATTGTTTTTCAGAAATAGTTTTTATTAGACCTTTATATGTGTACACATGATTCAAATTTTTTACATAATGTGCTGAGAAATACCGAATAGTTCGAAAATGATTAAATTTTTGTTATTTTTGTCTAAGGATTAATTTCATCATCTGTATCTTATGCCATAAGCCATTATTTTTGAATGATTTTAGAGTTTGACTACTATGGAAGTAACTACACCGACGGTCACTATGACCGATATCAAATCTATCGCTACATCTATTACAACAATCTTGGTCAGTTCAACTGTGAGCAGTATAGGCATTTCACCAATCACTTTCATTAGTGATACAGAAATGAGTTCAATGCTCAGTTCTTTAACCTCAGCTACAACATCAATGATTGTAACATCGGACTTGTTAGATTTTACATCATTTTCATCATCATCATCATCATCAAGTACGAATCCAACTTCCATAACATTAGAGTCAACTTCTGCGTCTATCAGTAACTCAAGAGTAACAACTTCAACAATCATTACAACACTAGAAACGACTATAATGGCAAGAAGTTCAAGCTCGATATCCTTAATAACGAGCGTAAAGTCTAGCACATCGAATGCATCGGTAACATCAAATGCAACTACTAATAGACGGAATCAAAGCTTTGCATGAGATTTCACAAATTATATCATAACAATACAAATTACACTACAGTATTATTATAGTAAGTTTAGTTGAAATTCTGTATCCAATACGCATAAACACTTCACACAATAGAATGTTGTTCTGGCTATTCTCTTCTTGCAATTTTTGACTATGTAAAAGGATTGTACTCACTGCCAATGCTTACTGTTGCTTCATTCTTTGCCTGTCTGTCACGCGCTCTGTATCAGTTTATGGACGGATGGACACTATAGGCTGAATTTTTGCTCTCACTGTTTTAATACTATTTTGTATCGAAGGAAGCATGATAAAATTGTAATAACAGATAACTTTTAATGAGAGATATATTCAATTTTCTCGTACATATCGAAGTATGAATATACGTCTTACTATGTTGATGACCTGATGTATATTAGACGACCACATAATTTTTCCATCGAAGAAACAAGTAAAGTCTTCATCGACCAATTATTTCGTTTAAGGTACCAATGACAAACCATACGATGGGAGATGATACTTTATCACGAAATGGCCTCATCATAGGGCTTGTTCTTGGATGTGTTGGGTTTTTGGCAGTAATAGCAGGAATAATCCTTGGTTTGGTCAAAACAAGTGCAGCATCAAAGAGATTTATATCAAAACTAAAGACATCATCACAAGTAGATGTTGTTGGCAGACAACCAGAACAAGTACAAACGCGTATTCAAACAAGAAATCCACGTTCATATCGTCTACCACCTTTAGAAACAAAAACAATGCAGTTAGTTACAGTTGCTAATAGTCAACCAGTAACCATCACTGGATCATATCGACCGGAGACAAACGCTAATACAGTGAATGCAACTTCACGAACGCCTTCTGTTAGAGGAATTCCTGTTCGACCAACGCATCTAGAAGTGACAAGGTATATAAAGAGGAGACACATTTTACTATCGCTGTGCATAATTCAAAGCCATTATTGTTTTTTTGTAATTATTTAGATCTCCCACCCATGTTATAGCTCAATATCCACAAAATTTAAATCTGTCCACCAATTTATCAAGTTTCCAACCAGTGAATAATCAATTTAGGTATAATCAAATGCCACAAACGCAAACGTATAGCAGTCCAAACGCACAATATTCGAATTACTCATCTTCAGATTACAATAACGGCATTCCTCGTCATCCACCTCGTATGATGAACATCGGAGGATCTGCTAAATACTCTTAAGATGCACAATGCGTATTATTATCCGAAGTACAGCATCCATCACGATATGCTCATTCTGAATTATCCAAAACCAAAAACTATACGCAGTTTAGTGTACTCTTATACTAGTTCAGCTCTGGTAGCCGTTCGAAACGATACTGCGATTATTAATATTGTTACTTCGTACCATTTCACTGTGTTCTTCTTTTTTTGATAATAGACTAAATACAGCTTTTGTTTGTGGGATATCTTTAATAACATAACATAATAAAGCTGAATAATACCATGAAAACGATACAATAAAAATATTTTGGCGCTACGTTGCTGACTGCAGTACAAGTTTAACTTTTGCAGCTAACACTACACGATTGTCTTACAATCCTAATTAACCTTTCTAACTTGAAACATGACTCTAATAGTTTTCAACAGTTGATTCATTAACACGGGTTTATAACAGTAGCTATCTGGAAGAAAACTCAAACAATATTACATCATATATAGAATTAAAAGTAGAAATTTAATATTCTATAGTTATATAGGAAAATTGTGTGGCTGAACACCATTGTTAAGTAACAATAAGTGTTCCTAAATATCCTCGTTGCATTGTGTTTATTCTCGTACACTACTCGGACTATGTATTAACTCACTTCTGTTTAATTTAGGAAATATTAGCATCACCCTGCAAGGCATTAATAGCAAATACCACTCAACTTACTCTCACCTGTCCGAACGTATCAAACAATTCTCAACTGCCCTTTCGAGCCTACGACAGAAACAGGTTACAACAAGTGACATCATTAACAATACAAGGCCTAAATGGCACAAATGGACCTTTCATGTCAATTCCAGCCGATCTATGTTTTTGGTTTCCAAATTTAGTGGTGAGTAACGGCAATTATTTTCTAATGGAAAGCTAAGTTAGCGAGAAAACGCAGCTAGATTAGATAGATTAAAAAGTGCATCTAATGAGTAGCATGCAGATTAAAATTGTGTAGTTGAACCAGTCGCCCTATCGTCCGATTAGTCGGACAATTCCGTGCTTGATTGTAGCTGCGTCAAGGTAGAACCTACATTAAATAATGTGACTTTTCCGTACACCACAACACGTCTCTTTGATGATTCGTCAAAATCCAACGTGTACGAACATGGAACACATTAAGCGCTAGTGAATTACTACACACCTCAATGTGCAGCTTTTCTGTTCCATGCATGACGCGATGTTACCGTAATACGAGATTCTGGCTGACGCCCTTATCCAGTAATATGCGCTGTACAGGAGCGCACAAAAGCACCGTATCCTCCAAAGGCTGAGAGATTTGATCGCTTGCTCATTTATTTGCACCCTCCGTTCCAGAATATGTCTCACTCATATCAATCTATTTCTTCAGTCGCTAGATTTATCTCACAACAACTTAAAAACTACTGATTTCTCATCAATGACCTCCTCCCAATGTTTACCAAATATAAGATCACTCGATTTCAGTTACAATCAGATTCAAGAAATCACCTACCCATTCCTCGAAACTCTGCAGAACCTAGAGCACACAAACTTTCGAAATAATAACCTCAAAACAATAGAACTCTGGGTACTATATTACGTCAAAAATACCGCCGACTTCAGCAATAATCAAATTTCCACAATCACAAACAAGTTCGGCGTACAGCTGAAAACATTCCCCGCACCGAGCGGACGACTGGATCTGACAAACAACGCTCCATTAATCAATTTAACTGATGCCATATACGAAATGTACGACAATTGCATTGAGCCACAGTCCTATATTAATCAGACTATACAAACGAGTATACCATTAACACTTGCCTTGTTCAGCATCAATTTTGGCACTTCAGTGAGACTTAATTGCAGTTGTGATCAATATTATATTTTACAAGTAATGCAACTTTATGATCTACTTCCCATACCAAAATTCTCACCATTATCGAACTTCACTTGTACAGATGGCGCATTATTTGGTAATTACTCATGTCAAAGTATGCAATCATCCGTCGATTTCACCAAAGTATATCCAAGATTTTGTAAAATCAGTGCCGATGAACCAGGAAATGTTCCCATATATGTACCATACAACAGTACGGTAAGTGGGAACTTATTCTCATTCTACATTACTTTGAGTAACCGGTGTTTTGTTTTCCTCGTCTATAGCCGGTGACAACACCGTCGACCACATCGTCTAAGACAACAACAATAACAAGTAGAACTAGTCAAACATCTGTCAGGACTAGCGGTACTGCACGTGTATCTACCAATAGCACCACGGTAATTATCCCAAGTTTTCAAGTTATTCGTCAATTTCTATTATCACAATTGCTTGTGCTGGTACTGCGATACCATCAAGAGTAGAAAGGGCACCTTTCTCGAACCAGATACCTATCAACTGAGTGCGCGAGTCTCTGAAACTTTTGCAAACCTACTCGAACAAAAGAATGCGTTTGTAAATATCCCTTTTGCTTCCAGAATTCGACATTGGTAAGAACCTCAATGGTGACAACTAGTACTAGTATTATCAATAGTA